CCCCCCCGGTTAATCTCAATTAATACGAAAATGACAAGGAGAATCAAAAACACACCATCTCAATGAAACAATTAATTTAAAATTCTACAAAAATGTAATTTGTTCTTTTTCAATTGAAGCAAGATAACGGGTTAAAACGTTGCACGGACAGAAATAAAATTAAATAAAAAAAAGGACGGACATACTTCGCACGCGGGTGGACCACTGTTGTAGGTGAGAAGTTGGAAAGGTAGAAGAGAAATTTAATGTATATCTGTACCTGCTCAACGATTAAACATTGCTAATGAAAAATCGTTTTGAAAATAAACTTTAAACGATTCCATAATGATTAGATAAAATTGAAACTAAATTCACTTAAAATCCTCCGAGAAAATTACTGGTTCACGATGAAAAAAATAACCCAGTATTAATATAGCAGCATCAAAGGCTATTGAGATAAATTTTTCATTATGATTCTCTGAGTGTCTGGACTACATTACGTCGTCTTCTTCAAACGGCTCTTGTATTTCACAATTTTGTTCTTATTCCGTATTCAGTTGTTTGCTCGTTTTAATTTGGTCCAAGTATGCGCAGAAAGAATTTCTTTTCTGAAACCTTCAATCTTCCTCTCTTGAGATTGGTCACGTTTCACGCCTTTATAAAAACTAGTCTTAAAAAACATTGTTTCATTTTTGGAAATAAAATTATAGACCTGAAAATACGAATTATTATGATTCCTTACACTTGTAAACTATTGCGGGTAGTTATTTGTTTATTAGTATTTCCCAACTTATGGATCGCGATGAAAGAAAAATATTTTTATTGCAACATAATAAAATAGAAATAATAAAAAAAATATCAGTTAAAATAATAACAAAATAAGAAAAATAAAATATTATAGTATGAAAAATGAATTAAAAAGCTTTTATTATTTAATGCAATTGGTGTCATCGTGTGAAATTCTGCAAGAATATGTCTGCGTGACGCTCAAACGAATCGATACAGTTCGTACAATGTCGTAAATTAAAGAAAACAAATAAAAATCATCGTAGATAATAGAAACAGCGCAAAAGTTTTCAATAACCACAATGACAAAAAAAAAAAAATATTCGTCCTTTTGGTCCTCGTACAGACTACTCCTAGGTTGGCTGAAAATAAATTACTTGAACGGCTGATAACGGGCGCAGGCAACAGTAAATCACTGAGAACGAAATACGATTCCTATAGTGTGGAGCTGGCAGATAAATATTTTTTGCTAAGTTAAAATCGAATGTTTTCGTTTTTTTAGTTTTAAACTACAAAACAAATAACAAATATTCGTGAATTGTACGAACATTTTTACAATATGAACTTGACACGATTATGAATAAAAAAGATACGGACATACTTCACGCAATGGATGGGCCACTGTTGTAGGTGAGAAGTTGGGAAAGTAGAGGAGAGTTTAATGTATACCTGTATCTGTACGCAACGGTTAACCATTGCTAACGAAAAACAATTCTGAGCGGGGTTTGGTTTTACATGTTTCGAAAGGCCGTAATATTTACTATTTGAAATTAATATATTTCATAATTTTTTTAATTTTTTGAACGCCAAGTACGACTTATAATAAACCTCCTGATAAATTGTCTAGCATTTCTGTTTGGTCCAACAATTTTTTACTCAGAGTACTAGTCTACCGAACAAATTTGTTTGTATTTTATTTTTTATTTTGAAATGTACCTAAAATAATCTTTATATTATTAACACAATTAGCAATTGAATATTTAAATTATTATAGTTTTTTTTTTTTTTTTGAGTAAGGGGGGATATTAAACATATCAGTTTTGTAGATCTCGTGCCGGCAAGTGTTTTGTTGGAGAGGTTTTTAATGACGTCACGTAAGCGATTTTTTTTAATTTGGTATATTATATTGATCGCCACTATTCCAGGATATAGGAAAAGACCGGCCAAGCAGGATTAACAGGATTACGGAGAGTATACCGACATACGAAACAAATTGTGATAGACGCAGACAGTCGCAAGGATTTAAAAGATTTAGGTTTACGAGACCAGACCGGGGCTTGGAGATGTGGAGTAAACCAATGTCGGACCAACGAACACGAGAATAGGAAGAACATTGATCGCACGGGGTTTTCGAACGGTTTTATTAAATTACCTATGAGGCGATTTTTTTTTTAACGGTTTGTTGAGATTACGAAGTGGGCGCAACAATATACGACGAGCAGTTGTCGTATTACAAAAAAAAAAAAAAAAAATAGATAGATAGAGTTGATAGAGTTCCGAAAAAATCTCACTTGTGCGTTTGTCCGAAATGCCCCGGAAGTACCGCCGTACCGTGCACACGAGTCGTTTCGCGTGTACGTTTTAAATTTATTCTACCGCGGAGATTTCATAGTGTAATGTAATATAGAGGGGGGGTTTTTTTTCCTCGCCGGAGCTTAATAAAAAAAAAAAAAAAAAAAAATCCGGGGAAATTCGGCGTTCGGGAGGTGTAAACACGTCGACGCGATAATCCGGTTGGCCGCCGTTTTCGCAAACCGTACGCGCGCGCCCCGGCGGCGACGGTTCGCGGGCGGGAAAAAACAACCGACCGCGGGTCGCAGTTCGCGCGTGCCGTTCCCGCTGTCCAAACGAATTTAAATCCGCACAGGTCAATAACGCGTAATTGAAATCCACGGGCTCGCTACAACCGCCCGGCGGGCCGTCGCGGACTCGTCCGACACCTGCCTCCGGGCCGACGCACGTCACGGCCGATTTTCCGCGGGCAGGTACGCTAAATTAAATTCGGCGTCGGGCACGTGTCCGGACTGCGACCCCGGTCGCGAGGGACGGGGGGGGGGACTTGAAAAGTATTCAAACCGTCGGCGCGCAAATCCGGCGGATCGCCGACGGACCGTTCCAATAAAACGCGCGGCACGTCACCGGGATCCGCTCGTACATACGAATCGCGTTTTTCGCACCCCGAAAAGACCGGCGCGGCGCGCCGTTTCCGTATCGGTCCGAGACTCGTTCGCCGTCCGAGCTATTCGCGAACGCCCGCCATCTGCGGGCAATCGGGTCACGTAGCCGGGATTTCATTACGGCGGACGAACATTTTCGACAGTCACAAAACGCATCGTCAATAATTAACAAAAAAATATCGGTTTGGTTTTAAAAAAAAAAAAAAAAAACAAACGCGCACCGTCGCACTTTTCCCCCGGCTCTGTGCCTCACGCACATTTGTTCGTATTTATCCGACCGAATATTATGTACATAAATTTGCGATAAATAAAACGCAAAATATTTAGTTAATCCAATATACTATTGAGATTTAGTTGTTAAAATATTTTAGTTAAACAAACGGGTTAATGTGAAAAAAAAAAAAAAACGATAGAAATTAATAGAGTTGATTAAATTAAAATTGACAGACACAGGTTGCGTTGTTGTATGCCCCGTTCAAGACTTCCGGACGACTGAAAATCTGGATTATCGATTTAAGAAATTAAGATTTAGATTCTGAGTGGAGCGAAAAATGTATCGGTTCTACAAATATATTTATTTATTTTTTTTTTTTTTTTTATGTGAACACTTTTCCTACCAGAAAGCTTACTTCGGCGTATACGGTGTGAACCCTTTACCGAATGGAAATTTTCTCGGGGCGGTACTTTAAGAAGGTCGTTTTTCGATTTTGTCAGGAGTTTTCTAATCAAACGTGAGAAACCGTAAAAAATCGAAGGAAAACGGTAAAATGTACGAAATATATTAGTAAAATATTAGGATAATTTGTTCTATGGAAAACATTTCTACTGGCAATTTCGCTCCGATTTACAGCGATAGCACTTTTTCTAAAACTTTTTCTGACTTGCGAGGTGCTTCAAAGATGCCATCTTTATAGATATATACATTAAATTCCGTTCTGTATTCTATCTTCTTAACTTCCCGCCTACAGCAGTGGCTGCACCCACGTGCGAAGCATGTCCGTATTTTTTAAATTGAATACATTTCTAATTATGATTGATTTTTGGAATTCTAGTTTAATGTATTTGATTTATTAAAAAAACAAATTTATTAATAGTGATTTTATTGTATATTTGTAACATATTACGTATGTTTTATAGTCTTGATATTTGAAATCCGAGACCACCCTCAACGTCGGAATTAGTTTCGATATTCTTCGGTTAAAATTAGGTAGTCAAAATCATTTATTTTTTTTTTTTCTTTCGGATTCTGGATGTTACCGTAACACGCATAATATGTGTGTCACGTATAATATCATACCTAAGTATAAAAATAATACACACATAAGTATACGAGTTTTAAAATCCGAAATCCGGATTTGCACGGGAAACATCTGGGTTTCGGCAAATCCGGATTTTTCCCGAACATCAAATGTATGAAAATATAAGAGTCGTATATAACTTACCTACCGTATGTAGTGTTCAAAATAACAATATTACGTTCGTCGCGGCGTTAGCGTTAATCAAATTTTAATCGGATTTACGACGGCCGAGCAGAATTAATACCTACATTATTTTAGTTTTCGGTTTTAGAAAGATGTTTTTTTATTTGTTTTTATTTTTTTTTTTTTTAATACGACTCGGTCGATCGATCATCTATCGAACGATGTATAATACGGGCGGCGCGCGAATTCTGACGGCATATCATTCGCGAAACGTACGTTCACCGCGCCCGATTCATTAATTCCGTAGCGCACATATTTTGGTAGGTATCACATTGTCGTTGTAAAGTCCGTGAAGTATTTTGTGAGAACCCGTTGTTTTTTTTTTTTTTTTCAAACGAAAATTGCAAATATATGTATTGGGAACGTTTAATCATTTGTTTTGTTACGTTTTCAATTATATTCGTTTGCATAAAAACATACAAACGCGCGAGGCTTCCCGGAGAACAAAAATAAAAAATCGACCGCAGCTGCGCCGCGTGTNTAGTTTTCGGTTTTAGAAAGATGTTTTTTTATTTGTTTTTATTTTTTTTTTTTTTTCAAACGAAAATTGCAAATATATGTATTGGGAACGTTTAATCATTTGTTTTGTTACGTTTTCAATTATATTCGTTTGCATAAAAACATACAAACGCGCGAGGCTTCCCGGAGAACAAAAATAAAAAATCGACCGCAGCTGCGCCGCGTGTACAAAAGGACCTTTGTTTGCGACACGGCTGCGCGACAAACGCACTTTATGACGTAGTGATGCGCACTAATTATTTCTCGTAAGTCTTCGTCGCGTTGAAAACACGGACATCCTATAATGGATATAATAATTTAATATCCGGCCTACACGACGACAGTTACTGTCGTAAGAGTTGCGAATTTCGTAACCGTGACAGTATAACTATCGGCTTGGCCACGGTGATCACTGAACTATCTCGAAAGCAACCTCCGCGCTATCACGTATGCACAATACGGTTGGCGGACAATATCGTGGAACTGTAGTCGGAGTAATAGTAACTATCGCCAGGTGATAATCACATCCTACCATCGATTTAGTTTATTGTCATGTCGCATTTTCACCGACGGGTTTCTATCGACGAATAATTCTCTCTACTATATTTTTATATCGACCGCTGTGTATGGACGCTGTCTCCGCGACAGTTAATACCACACGATAATTTGCCGGCGCGATAGTACACGATAACTGTCATAAGATGCACAATTTTAAGCGTTGTTACAAATTTTCGCAACGCAACGTTGAAAAGTACAATGTTATAGATGTTTAGAAATTAAAATTTAGGTATTTCAAAACGGTCGGTTTTTCAACTATGGTCTAACTAATTAATTAATTAATTATGAGCAATAATATTCTATTTTTTGTAGTCCGGATAAAATTCTTGTACTGGACAATCATCGAGTACATAGTGTATACATTTTGACAACAATGCGCACGAGTTCGTACGCAATCTGGTTGATTTTATTATTATTATTATTATTTTTTTTTTTTTTAAGTATTCTTTAATCCATCGAAAAACATACGCAATCGTGTTGTCAAAAAGGACAAACGTACGCAATCGCGTTTTACCCGACGAAACAAAAGCAATGAACTATACGTCGGCTTTCGCGGACGCTGCCGCACCTATCAGTCTGCACCCGAAATGAGTACCGGGACTAATACACGCGGAAACAATGTATTATTATTATTATTATTATTATTAATTACAGGGTGTGTATGTGTGTGTGTGTGTGTGTGTATGACAAATATATAAATATGCGATAATCGTGTTCGCGGCGGAAAAAAAAAAAATGTACGGCATACATAATATCGTACACGTATAACACGGGCGCATGATAATAATAACATATGGGTATTTAAATGTTTCATTTTTCTTCTTCTTGCGATCACTTATCTAATTGTAGAGTGTCGGTGCGATATTTCAAAATATTGTCAGTATGATTTACGAGTGCGATTCGTTGCGACGTACGTATCGCGGCGGTGTATACCTCGCGTATCGATGCCCGGGGGAGTGGGTTCCGGCCGGCAATATAATAATAATGATAAAAAAAAACTAACCGCTAAAACCGCTTTTTTTTTCTTTTTTTTTTATCTCTATCCCTCTCTCTTTCTCTCTCTCTTTCTCTTGCACTCGTTGTAGTTCTCAGCGACCGACGACGATGACGATTACGAAGACGACGATATAGTGGTGTCTTTGGAATTTTGCGAATTTCCTCGCGCAATAAATCAAGCGCGCGTTACCTACCTACCTATGGCTCTTCCGTCGTACCACTCCTCCTACACGGGGAACGCCTATTAAAAAAAAAAAAAAAAAAAAAAAAAGCCGCGAAATCAGTCGACAAAACGGCAGCGGCGGCGCTGTAGCCGCGTGTAGAATATTCATGTAAAAATATTACTGTCGACATTACTATTATTATAATATTATATATAATACATACTACACGTCCGCAAAGGCCCGTTATTTATTAAATTCCTAAGGCGACCGCGTGTAGACGAGCGAAACCGACATAATTGTATAGGCGTCATCTATAATAAAATGCGAATTATTTTACAGGCTATTTATCTAAAAAGGCTGATACCGCTTATACGGGTGTGACACTGTTTCAGGAAAATCATTCCGAGCAGAGTATTATTAGTCGTATTTTTATTTTTTCCCTTGTTGTCAAGGTAACCCAGGTAACCAATCGACACACTTTGCCTACACGAAAAAATGTCCAGTGTGGAAACACCGTTTCTTAAGAAAATTACGAGGAAAAATTCAAAAATCACTTGTTCAATGTATCGACTTAATTAAAAATGCTTCAAGAAAGTTCTATGCAGTTTTTGGGTCGAGTATGATTTCTGATAGAAAAGTTATTTACAGACACGAACAATAACACCACATCATATAGTAGAACCTTCGCTCATTCCTATTCTTCGCTCCGCTATAATTCTATAATATTACGGGCGTACGAGTTTACGCTCTTCTGTATAGGCCGCGTCTTCATTCGTATTGTAAACAAACTTTCACAGCTTCGCATACGCGTGACGGAAACGAACGATGACGTGGACATCATCGCATACCGTGACAAACGTCCCTTATAGAGTAGCGGCTAGCAATATCGAGTAAACGATGTTTGATTTCGGATTTGATTTGATTTCAACGACGAACTGACCCCGCGATATAAATTTGGTATGGGAGTAGAAGATTTAATTCCTTCAATCTCGCAAACGTTCAATTGCTGAATTATCGTTTTTCCCATGACTATACGGGTGAAGGGGCGTGGGATTGTGCGGTACAATAATTCCCGACCGGATTTGCGGAACGATATTGCAGAGATCGTCTGTGAGCGACGAGATTTTCGAAGAGCCGTCGTAATTGAGTGCCAATCAGAACCGCATAAACCTGTGTTCAAAGGCGCAGGACGTTCCGACGACAAGTGACTTGTCGTCAAGTGCTGCGAGAAATTCATATCGGTTTATATTATCTGTCACATTTCTATTGGCTATATATATATATATAGTTGGTATCCTTGCGCACGTGACGATACAGGAGAAGTGTCAAGCATCTTGGACCGGACTCACAAAGGCAGGCAGCGGGAATGCGGTTTCCTTCATGAATCACCTATTATTATATTGGATACAGGGACAGTGCGGGACTCGTGTTGCTTATAGATTACACTTGGTAATTTCGATTTATGAGAATGTTTTGTATGGTATACCTACTGCACACTATTATTATGATGCGTATTATAGCTAGTGCGATACAAGTATAACCTTTACAAAAGAAAATCCACACGAAAATAGTCGCATGTACCGCGGGCAAATAGCTATCGTATAAGTTTGAAATTTTATTTACAACTATCATACCGAATGTAGGCATATGTGAGGACCCCGGCTTCGACTACGGAAAATTGATGAAACAGATGTGTCAACAACGCAACTTGTTCATTTTAAGACAAGTAAAATGTATGACATGATATTTGTATTTTTATTGTTGTTTTGGGTAAAATCTCGTTATTTGAATAAAAAAAATACAAATTATCGACTAGGTGTGGCGAAAAAATAACTTTACGGACGAGATATTTTGTATTAATAAATTCAGCCATGGGTAAACAATAGGTAAACACGTTTTAAAAAAAGGTACACTGCATCTATTGGAGTAATAAATTGTTTCAAAGTATTGTTTTATATATTTTAAGCGATTAGAAAATTCCTTTTTTCGAGGCTTACCAAAAAAAAAAATAATAAAAAATGTAATTTTTATATGATATCCTCAAAAATTCAATTCGTATAGGAAAAACCTTTGATAAATAGTTGTAGGATGAACCTCGAGTTCCACGACGATACATTTGTGTCGTAATATACATTATACAATGTTTCACTTTAATAGTAACACGTGAAATATGTCTATCGGTTAGACGAAAATCGAAACGGGAAGATGATTTATATTTTTAGTGGTGTGCCGGGATTTTAAAATGGGGGTAGAGCCGGAGTTGGAATTTCGTTTAGCGCGGTGGCTACTCACAACAGAGACGTTCCGTTTGTTTTCGTTTTACTTTTGGTACGTTATTAGATGGTTTACACGATTGAATATTGGCATGAAACGTCAATGGATGTCATAAATTTTTTTCTACCAACATGTTTAGCTTTGATTGTCACTATCTCTGATGAGCGCACCGCTATATATTCAATAGCGTATCGTATAACTGTAGTTCAAAATTGTACCCAATTTACAAAGGGATCGAATGTTCAAGAGTAATTTTCTCCCATATCCTACACTGCTATCGGTTAAAACGGTTGGGTGAGCGGGGGAGGAAGAAAACTCAAAAGGTATAAAATAGAGGATTATCAGTTAAAATTATTTATGATACCGATAGAATGCCTTGAATTGCGTGTTTATGTTGCCCGAAATTTGTACAGTCAACTACAAGTAAAATCAAAAGATTACCCTCGTCCACCCCCAGTGCGCCAATTGGACAGAATTTGCGACAAGAAGCCACCTCCGAAATTGATGACTAAAAAAAGCAAACATCATATTATCAATAATATTTTGCTTTCAAATATAATAAAAAATAATGCGCGTAGAACATTTTAAGACTAGCGCTATTCGTAATCGGCGTCAGAAAAAAAAATAAATAAAAGATAAAAATTCTGTATAAAAAGATTTAAGTTTAACTAAGTTAAGTTTAATAAAATGTGTGTTTTAGTGTATACTGTATAGCCCCCCAATCTTCTTACTTGATTTCGATCAGATTCCATCAGTGGCTAAAACATTTCGTGTTATCGTTTGAACGAAACACACCGTATACAGTTTGTTTTAAACTATATTTGTGTAAAAAAAAAAAAAAAACCGATGAAA